CCCTCGAAAGGGTTTTGGAGGTTGATGCCTCGGTGAACGTGCGTTGTTTGGCTTTCTTGTCCGCAGCAGCAGAAAGCATTTTCGAATGTTTGAATGAATCAAAGTGGGTCGTCCCCGTCGATTTTCTCTTATGCTCCAACACACAGTTGCACGGGGTGCAGAATAGTTTCCCCCCACTTTTTGCCCGGTCTTTAGTAGAAATGTTCGTCGGTAAATGAGATGGATTAGATTTTTTCATCTTGGTGTTTTCTCTATCGTGTGAGCTCCACACGTTCACTCTATACAGTGTTGTTTACATTCTGTGATGCACGATCTGATGACGTCACGTCAAGACGAGTTAACTTTTTTTTCTCTCAACTTTGTGTGGAAAAATGAGGCGATTATGCGGCCTTTTGATAAATATGCGGCCTTTTAAAAATCTGCGCCATTTTGCTGATTATGCGGTAAATTCTGCGATCGCAGAATCGCGTTTTTCTGGAGGGTCTAGCTAATGGAGAGCAGCGAGTGTGGTGTTTTATAAGGGATGTGACACAAGAGCAACATCAAGCTGCAGTTTCCTGTACAGTTTCACCGTTTGTCAGGCGTGGTTCAGCAGCTCCTGCTCAGGGATTTAGAGTCTGAATAAATAATGATCCACAGCTGCTGCATGTGGAAGGACATCTGGTGGGCAGGTAGAGAAACACAGGACCTGAGGGAGAGCAGGAGGAAACATGCATAACAAAACACCAGAGCCTTCACTTGGCACCATGACATCACCAGACTCTTTGTTATAAGGTGTTTATGTTCTCTGTCTTTCCAGGTCTGAATCCAGAGAGTGTAACTCGGTTGTTTTTCTCTCCAACAGTTTATCATGACATTAACTCCAAGTTCAAGAGGACGACGCTCTGCATGACTAAACAAAACGAAGGTACGTCTCTGTTCATTAAGTATTTAGTAGGTAGGTGTAGCTTACTTTTGATTACTTTATGTGATGAGGAGAAATGTGAGATGAGAGAAATGTAGGCAACACTTTTTCCTTACAGTTACTTTTCCAAACCATTTCTACATAAAAATATACTGGTACTTTTATCAGTAAAATATTAATATTCTAGTAGGAAAAGCTATATTTTAACTGATGTAAATATTGATACATATTGATAGTTATATTGTAACGTTTTTATCATTATTTGTTTGATTGCATGCTTGGACAAATGTCACCTTTTTACATCCTGAACAATGACTAGTAAAATCTCACGGTCATACAATCTAAACATTGTCTCCTTTATCCCCTAAATGATGGTTAAAAAAAAACCACAATATTAAAGTTTTTATTGTATATGCAATATTAATATCATTTACTTTTTCCCACTTCGTATCAGACGACATACCGTGAGAGAAAACGTACTGTATAAATGTCCCCCCCTTGTATCCCATGGTGATGGTAATGTGTGTATGTTGGAAGAACTGAGAGCTTCCACACCAACACTATGTGCAATATAAATACCATTACCATCATTACCAAACACTCGCTGCTATACATGTGCAATATTATTATTGATAATGTGCTATGATAACGTGTATCTGCCACTATGTTTTTTTGCACCACTAAATACTGTTAATATTTACATTAATTATGTGAACGTCTATGTTTCCTGTAAATATTGAATTGCTCTTTTTACTGCACTGTTAGTGTACAGTTTTACAGATATGCTGCTGTGTTTATTGTATTTGTGTAACTCTGGCACAACAATTTCCTTCAGGGATAAATAAAGTCTTATGTTATCTTGTGTTCTCTGCAGGTTACGGTCTGCGCTGCCATCGAGCCGTCATCACTCTCTGCAAACTGATCGGAATGAAGGACCTGTACTGCAAGGTGGAAGGATCCGTCAATCTGCTCAACATCACCAGGGCCTTCTTCACCGGATTAGCCAATCAGGTGAAGTCACGTTGAGATAGTGGGAGGGCTTTCCAATGGGATGGTTTCATAAGAAAAATGTATCTGCTACCATGCAATAAGGGGAGGTCCTAAACATTTCAGATAATCAAAAAAAATCTCCAGGAACACTTGGAAACATCTTGATTGTAAGACGAGCTTTAAGCCGTTATCAGGGTCAACCCTAAAGCCCCACAAACTGAAATGCAATGGCCTTGAAACAAAGTGTACCACCAAAATCACACATTTCTCCTTCTCCATGCACTTTTGAAGTTATAATAATAATAATAATAATAATATAATTAACTTTTGATTACATAGCATCTTTCGAACAAAGTTACAAAGTGCTTTCACACAAAAATCTTTAGACACAGAAAATAAAATGAACAAAAAACCAGTAACAAAACAAAGAGAGTAAAACAAACGGAAAGTGATAAAGCATTATGACGTTCAGGTGTATAATGTAGAGGAAAATGATGTGTCTCTGTGTACATTATGTTTTTTATGATACACTGCAGATGTTTAGTCTCTGGAGCTGTTCATATAACTTTCCTCTATCTCTGTTTTCCTTTCTACCATCAGACAAACCAACGTTTTTTGAAATTGTCCCGCTGAGATACGCGTCGCAATCACATTGATCTTTTACCTACTTCTCCTTATTCCTATTTTCACCAACCTCTTTATCTTCTTCCATGCTGCAGCAAATCCACCAGAGTCTGGCGGACAAGAAGCAGCTGCACGTGGTGGAGTACCAGGCGCAGCGCGGCCCCCTGCCCGTGGTGGTGGCCAGCCCCAAAGAGGGGGCGAGGCCAGACCCGGAGCCCGTGGACGAGATCCCCAACACCCGGCTGAACTGGGTCGACGTGCAGGCCGCGCAGGGCATCAAACACTCAAAATGGGCGGGGGTCAAACGTACTATCTGGTAGTGAGGGGCAACTGGACTGAGGGTTGTCACAATGTGTTGCTTTGCCAAGAAAAGCTGAAACGAAAAATAGGAGCATTTGTTCTCCAGAAAAATATCAGTTTATGTTCCAAATCTATCAGATGTGTTGTTTTGTCATCCGAGGACAAAGGTTACTTGTTTCTCCAAATGAAGACGTCACATTTGAAAACATAACTCTGCAGATACTCCCAGAAAAGTCAATAAGAAACGCTCAGATCCTAGATATCAATGTTTTCTTTTATAACTGTAAAATCAATGTGCTTTCTCACCCTAAGACTTGTTGAAAAGACTTGTACTAATATAATAAAGTATGGATCTGTGAAAGTGTGTTTGTGATAATAACTTTTCTGCCTGGAGCATTCAATATTGCAGCTTGTACCTGTACACTGACGTCTTCTGACAGCAGGGAGGCTTTGTTCCTCCATAACAGAAAGAAAGGTGATCATCAAAATGATGCAGCTTAACTCATTTAAAAACATGAATTTCCCGAGTGAACCCAACAGTTGATGGCTGAAGAAATGCAGTGGTTATCAAGAACAACATTGTTTTTTTCAGAAGTTAAAGCACTTGAGTCTTGGAAATGGAAAAACAATGAATCATTGTAATGAGATCGCTGAAGTAGTAATCAGGAATGAATGGCAGGCCGAGGTGTTGTATCACAATATTTAATACATAACACGCACAGTGCCAACACTTTGTCAAGCAATAAGCGCCAGAGTTTACAGTCCAACCAGTCATAGAAGTGCTCCAGGTGAGGCTTGAACTCACAACCTCGGCATTGCTCTGCAGGAACTGTCTTATAAGTACCGCGCGCTGACCGATTGCGCCACTGGAGCTTATCTCTCTGTGAACTGAGAGAGCTGATATATTAGTGTGCAGACTTTGTGTGTTTTCTTAAGATGTTGCTGAAACTGTGATATTATAAAGGAATGCACACACACTCCACTCCCTCTCTAATTTCAATCCACATTTTGAAAGCTTACAAACATTATTTTTTGATCTCTTTAATTTGAAGGTGGGGTATGTAATTTATTTCAGAAACACTTTGTGTTATATTCCACGGAATGCTCTTAACATCCCGATAGCAATGAATATATTAAATGCTTTGACAATAAATACATACAAAAATGTAATCTGTGGAAGCCGTAGTATACTGTATAAAGCACGACCAATTATTTTAGCCGGCCGGGCTAAAATAACTGGATGGCCTACCTGCCTGTCAGCCTTCCATCTGTGCACAAATTTATGTCGTGCCCTGATTGGTCATGTGGGCGTTTGTGTGTATTGGAGGAGGGGCTCTGTAAGGAAGTGGCAGATTTTTTCCGGCTGTGTATTTTCAAATTCTAGCGCACTCGAGCTGGTTTCTCCAAAATGACCTACCCCATCCTTTAAGGGGTGCACATAACTTTTTTGGCCTGGTTCTCAAAGGAGCACCTGGAGATGTTGCTTGGTGCTCATCCTTAAAATGAAATAAACCGTAACTTTTGAGTGGGTCTTGACTTTATTTGACACACGGCACTGAACACACATGCAGAGGTGAACACAAGACAACATTAGTACGACCAGTAATCCTACAAGCTGTCATCACTACCCTCCTGACTGTTCTCCTCACTGTCTTCCTCTCTGTCAGACATGGTAGCTGATGATGTAGGCCTACTACTTTCTCTCTGGTTAAGTCTGCGATTAGATGCTTGCATCCACAAGTCAACAGCTGGTTTTGGGTCGAAAGTCGCTGTTGTCATCTTAGAGAAGTGGATGTTATCAAATAAGTTTGTGAACATAACCAATAACCTACCATAGCCAATAACAAATGAATGTAACTTATTGTATTTGTGTTGTTCATTCATATCTTATTTGACCTATTAGCATTTATTTATTTATGCATATTTTTTTATCTCTCCAGTTTTAAAGGATATTTTTGGTTACTGTCCTATAGTAAACATTGAAATTATTTCAAAACCTGTTTTATCCCAATAATTATAAAGGAGTGCCTT